AGAGTTACAAGTATCAAATAAAAGCGGAGTGGATGTGTTCGCCCCAGCAAGTTCCTCTGTATTACCGGCAATCAGGACGAGGAGCAACCAATTAACGTGAGGAATGCGTGTGTGGGGAGCAGCTGTAAGCTTTGGAGGAAACTATTCCATGAAAAGGAACCCCACTGCTGCCTTATGAAGAACTAAAGAACTCTGCGCACACACATCCTTATCCCTGCCAGGCCAGAGGAAGAACAGATACTGTACCAGTCATGCAGGCTGCAGTTGTTTAGTTTCCTCTGAACCAAAAACCGAAAGTCGTTTCAGAGCTGCACTCACTCCAGTGTCCACCTTCAATAACCATCAGAGGTGCCAGCACCTCAAAATAAAGGAAGATAAAGATCTACAGCCGACTGAAAACTAAAAACTCCCACAGGGGTCTCTCTCATCCACCTGCCACTCCATCTACTTGTGAGTATCTTACAGGAATACACTTTAATGAAATATACTGCTGATTCCAGATATGACATCGTACAGCACCAATAAAGGGTTAAAATGCACGTGTTAAAAATCTGCTCTTAAATGCATTAATCCCACTGGGGGGCCCTCAAGCATGCAAAAAAAAAAAACAACAACTCCGTTTGATAAAGATAATGGCAGCCATGCGATGACCTAAAACTGCTTCACACCTAAGATTCAAATGGACTGCACAGTGCAACAAGAGCACAACATAACATGTGTTGATGAAAGGAAAGGAATTCTGGCCCAACCCTGTCTTGTTATTGTTTTTATCCTGCTCTGAAGGATGGCTCAAGGCACGCATTATGAAACCATGCTCGCTTTAAAAATCAAAGCTGTACCGCTTGAAGATGAAGCCAGCGTCAAATTCTGCAATTAATCGCAATCTGTTGCACCGTCAGACTCCCAGAGTGAACCTTTCCTGTTAAAGAGAGCCCTGTATTAAGGCCACCGCAATGCCGCTCGCCCACACACTGCAAACCAAGAGGGGTTCTTCTATTGTGCCTCACTGTGTTTTGGAACCCCACTCGCCTTGGAGGTGATGAAAACCTTTCCTGTGCCCAGTGTCGGCTCACACTTGTCGGGTCCGTGTGCAAAAACAGAAGAGTGACCTGCCGTGCACTGACGGCGCCGTGCAAACAGGGTGGCCAGAGCGCGCAGGATCCTGCACAGCTGCACCGAGGAGCTCAGGCCCCACTCAACAGGAGGGCCACGCACCTCCTCTCACACACGTGGGGCAGCGCCTCACCCCCATTTCCCTCCTCACTGGAGTGGATTTCTGGCTCTTTCTTTTTTTCTCCCAAAGCCTGCGTGGCGCTCGGAGCTCAGATGGGGTGGCGCGCCGGGGCCCTGCAGGGAACTGCAAGAGAAGGCCAGTTCTCCACAGTTGCAATGAGTGCCCGAGGACCACTCCGTCTGCCTCCGTAAAACACAAGACCCCTCATCCTTCTTTCCGGTAAATATATATCCCAGTAAACACGCAGCTCCACGATGGAAAGACTCATCAAAATCTAAAATACTTTAATTCTTGGCCTTCACAGCAATCAACATTTAACCACTGGTTCAGTGGTTAAACATTATGCTAATTTAGTAATTAAATAATTTAATGATCATAGCAATAGGAGTGTACAATTACGTAGCACAGTATTTGATTTTCTTAGCATATTCAAAGCTGTATCCTGTCAATGTTCCTCAGCTCCTGACCGAACAAATTCACTCACGAGAGTGGAAGCAGATGAAAGAATACTACTGAAATCAAACTACAGCAGCAGTCTTATTGTCCACCCCCTTTTTCAGCTTACAAAGCACAAAACAAGCATGCTTGCTTTTTAATAAATGTGAAGCGCCCAGAAAATACCAACTGGAAACATTAAAGAAGACGCTGTGGTCATTTTTTTACTTCCAATAAATACTGTTTAGTGTAGTTTGTCAAGTAAGCAGACCTCGAACATATTATGACATTTCCTAAAATAACATACTAGTTTTTAAAGATTCAAATCTGTAACCATAACTTCCTTCTCTTTTCCATGGAGAGGAACTAGGGATGCTTTGTGATGCCAGCGTTTCTCTGAACATTAAAAAAAAACTTAGAGAGCATGATGAAATCTTCAGAGTCTAAAGTTTCATTCTCTCATCTGCGCCGATGGGAACACTTTCCTGGATAGAAAACACTGCCCTAACCATCAAGTGCAGGTGACCGTCCTGCCCTTCGTGGTAAACTGTAAAATACTGGTGACTAGGCTGCAAAGCCTTTGATCATGTCCTTTGTCCCACTGTTGATAATCTGGTGGGCAAAACAGGAATTCCATAATTTACAGGAACATTTTCAGGAGTGAACAGGAAGCCCTGGCCTGTTATCAGAGCCGGATGATATAATATAAAAATATCTCGCCATTAAAACACTGTTCTTGGTGCAGTCAGCCAGTCAGATCTGTCTTAGCCTGAAACATACTGGCTGTATTAATAAGGGGCTTCCAACAAGTGCACTGAATTAGAGGGCTACAATCAAAGTAAAAAAACATTCGTTACCATCCTGTCACTGAGTACTACTGTCAACACAAAAAATATTCAAAACACTTCAGCCCCCCCTAAAAACGTCTGTATCTTTAGCATCAGTGGTTTACAAAAATTACTATTTTTAGACTCTAGCGAGTGGTAAATTATATAATCTGCAGGGGTGCATGTTGTATTTTGTCACAGTTTAGATGGTAAACCTTGAATTTTTGGTCTATTTTGCCGAAGATTGTTTTTAAGATGTACCTCTTCCAGTAACTAAGAAACTAACTTCCTGTAACTTTTCTTCAATAAAATGCAAAGACTACACCCAAGAAACCCGTATTACCGAGCAACTGCATGAGTTAATTTCTTATTACGAAACAGTATAATCTTGTTAATGTTATCAAACATCCACAGCAATCAGCCAATTATGGAGAAAGGTATTAAAGACCTATAAACCATTTCTAATCCCACTGGAAGCACATGACCTTAAAGCAAACTCCAGCACACACTATAGCAGCATGAAAGAACTGGGCACTAAGATGTGAAATTCCTGAATGCCCATGTGCTGCCCCAGAGAACTCCCAAAAACGAAACTGAATAATCGCTTCAAGCCCCTTGTGGGCATCTCCATGTAATCAACAGTTATTAAATTCACCACAGCTTGAACTTTTCATCACGTCAATGGCATTTTTATTGAGTCTTTTTTTTATTATTAATGCTACATCTCAAAAATCTCCCAGAATTGCTAAGTATTATATTCCTTTGAAGTGCTTTTCCTGTTGTACAAGGGTCATTTTGTTCCATAATAAGTTTTAGAACCGATATAATCCAACTTTTTTTTAATGTTTTTTTCAGTTATAAAGAACCACGCAGCCCTTTGAAAAACATACACTAGCTCTGCTTAGCACAGGTTGCTTCTCCTCATTCAGGATCACCACAAGAGCCTTGGATCATAGGGACCTGGTCTTGGAGCAGAAGATCAAGACAGCAGCAGAAAATGGAAGCTGCCAGCCCACAGCAGGAAACAGCTTCAGAAATGGACTGTCCCCTTCACCGTGAAAGTCTGGCCAGCAGCCAGGAAAATGTTTATGGGAATTTCCTCACCCTGTGCATCTGCGGCCTGTTTTTAAACTTTGCTGCATTCCTCCATTGAACCCTTTTTATCTGGCTTTGCACTGGAGGGTGCATGAAAAAAAGAAATTCAAGAGAGACGCAGGTATTGCATTATTTAGTGCACAGTCAAATGCTGCCGATCACCAACAGCAATAGAGAGCACCCTGATGTTGACGCAGAAATAATTTCTTTAGCTACTGTAGGTTACATTGCTTAATTCGACGGCTGGCTCAGCTGCCAGGACAGCCGCTGTTAGGATGCAGGAGCAGTGGGGCTGTCTGTCACCCTTGCTGGTAACACTTCAGGGCTCAGTCACACGTGCCCAAGTCTGCCACATTCATCAATTTCCCCCGCAACAACCACTTAATCAAATTTCTCTTACGGCTTTGCCGTCCTCATTAATATCCACTTGGCCCAGCGGAGCAGCTTATTGTCGGCTGTAGAAGGAGCTGCGGCGTGCATTCAAGTTATGCAATTTGAATATTTAATGCGTTAATATTTTAGATAAGAGTGTGGGGATTTCAGACTCAAAGGTGAAGGAGATACACTGACGGTCATATTTGCTAGTGTGAGTATTTAGTGCCATTTATTCTGCTTTACATATTTAAAGCGACATTTATAAATATGCAGTATCTCTCTTAGAAATAAAATAATGGGGTTACTGGTTATTGGGTATATCAGAAATCATCAGATGCCTCTGGCTAGGTGACACTGGGAAGACCCAGTTTTCCTGGCTTGTGAGCCATCTCCCAGAAAGGCATTTTTACTGAACTGCCACTAGCAGAGAACAGCAAACTCTCCACACTGATCTAACAGCAGCTTGGCCACCTCTGTTAAAAGAGAGACTACAGGGACTCTCAGTGACTTGGTTCCCGTCTTGTTAAGAAAGACCCTTGGAAACTGAGCTTTCCCAGTGGCCAGTTTGACCCCTGATCCCACCTCCAAGCCCAGAGGAATCAAGTTTTCATTCTAAGGTTTCCAGCACTGTGCTCATACACAAGGTCTCATTTGTGCAGGTCCAAAAAAATTGTTTTCAGCGTGTTGGCGTTTTCTCTGGAACGTCCTTGTGCTTGTGGCTTGTTTGTGCATTGTATATACCCACCACAGTCTCCTTCTGGATGCAGTGGGTGAATTCAACATACAGTATGATCACAAACACCATTTCAAAGTTTACTACATTTCTTCAATGATTTAGAAATATTAGCTGCTGTAAAAAAAAAACACTGCCTCTCTAAACACTTCTGTGTTTAACATTGGAATCTTATAACAAAAAACTACAAGAACAAGCTAAATGCTGGGGAATAATTAAATGCTTCTGTTAAGTGAAAGAATTGATTGAGACACTAAAAATGTCAGCAAAATCTAAAACAAACCAAAAAAAAAAATCTCACCCCTTGGCTCCCCTTGAAGCAAATAACCGGCTGATGTGGTATCGAGGCCTGTGGAAGAGAAAGAAGAGAGATGAGGGTAGGATTTTCAAGTATAATCATCTGACATCATCCGAAAGGAATCATTGTGAGTATGGACTGAAAAACCCAGAGATTTTCACATCTAAAACAATCCAAATCAAAATCAAGTCCCCTGTTCATCCGTTCCAAATGCAGTCATAGTGACATAACGTATTGGTTAAACCTCCAAACGATGCCAATAACAAGCAGGGCTGCGATTATTATCTTTGGATTAAGTTTGGATATACTTAAGCAATACATGTATTATTTCTTCAAGAATTAATAATGCGTTCTAATTATTCTCCTCCCCTGTTTATGAGAAGGGCAGACACTAGGCAGACATTCGATCAGATCCACAGTTTGAATCTAGCTACTGCAGCTGGCAATCTGGCACTTTGATCCTTTTCTCCGCAGTGATTATGTGTTCACCATCCACTCGTGCCTAGCGTCATTCTTAAAAGAACAGCCGTTTATGACAAAGCCAGGTTCAATCAGTGCTGTGTTCTGGGACTTGACTTCAGTCATGCGAAGGTTTCTGTCCATGCTGGACAGTAGATACAATCAGCTTAGATGTTTCAGGCCTCATATTTTCACTTCCATATGAACTTCGGCTTCTGCTTTTGAAATAAATAGATTTTCCACCCCTTAACGGGAAGGTGTGAAGACATTACCCAACTGGTTTATATTTCACAGAAGCACACACATTCTTCAGAAACATCCTGGACTCAGATCCCTACCTCTACTGCTGCCCTGTTTGTTCTAGTGATACAGGTCTCTTGTGATAAGATGTTCTGAACTCGCAACGCCACACTGTGCTGCACCTCCTTAGTCGCTACCCTGAGGCTGAAATAAACAAGTCTGTCTTCCTGCTTTAATCTCATTTGCTCTCCTGGATCTGGATATAGTTCTGATTTTGCCTATTTTCCTGTAACATTTAATATCTGACATGGCAATTTAACATGAATACTGAATGCCACTAGATTCCTGTATCTTTTCCCTTCTTTGTGCAACTTTAGAACTTGATTTGTGATAATGGGCAGGACAAAAGAATACAAAGTAAAACTATTATGCTTACTGTTAACAGTCTCCTTGAGTTGATGATTAACTTCCTATATTTGCTTATATAAGCAAAAACTGGTGATATAAACACCAGAATCCCTCTAATCACACAAGTAGTTTAACTGATACAATATATGGAAATAAATAATTGTAAGTTTTTTAAAAAGTAATTGAAAATGTGATATTGGCCTTTTAACTCTCATTAGTCAAATTTGAAAGTATTCGCATTCCTTTATAAACTTATTATGTGCACTGAAGTAGGCAAAGCAGCATTTCTTACAGCAATTCAAAAGATTCTCTACCACAACAGCTCTCAAAAAATGATGAGTATGTGTCTATAACAACAGGAAGCAGTAATTCAGTATGCAAATATAACTTTCATAAGTCAAACGAAAGGTTTGTAGAAATATCAGCTGAAAGTTAAGTAGTCTCAGGGCAATGATGTATGTAATAAGAAAACTCTGAATTTCAGCAGCACAATCAATCAAATGCTAATCATTAAACGCTAATCTAATTAACTGTATACATGCACATCTCATCCTGTCATTTAAAAGAAGCAAATCTATAGACAGAATTGGGTTATTGTGTTAATATTAAATAGAACCACTTTACATGAAAGTCCTGGAAAAAAAGACAAATAGGAAAATTACAATCTCTGTAAATTCACTGATGACTTTAGCATGCCACACACCCAACTAATTAAACAAGATGCAGCACGAGAAAAAGAACACAAGCATTTATTATACAATACACAGACATCTTCAAGTGTTTTTCAGTTCATGCTATTTTTATTTATGAGCATGCTTGATGCTAGGGTGAAGACACTATAAATC